CTGCATAAACACCTTCATAATCGCCACAACCGCATAATCCTTGATGAAGTGGGTCGGTAGCTGTTGCTGTACGAAGCGGTAGGGCTTGCTCTCGATCCCGCGACAGATGTCCACGTTAGACTGCATTGATGATTTTGTGGCGATATGTCTGCATCACTACATCTACGCTTCATTATTAATTCCCAGCGATAGGATTTGACGATGATTGCGTACGCTGCAGTACTTTATCATCCCATCACCTCTGCTCTTTAATACTGTATGCAGAGCTGTATGTGCTAAGGTGCCTCACATTCCACGATTAGACGGGGCATTCGCATTTCTCTTGCATTTCCTCGTTTGGATTCAAGCTGTTCTTGTTTCGCCTCAGCGGCTGAAGATCTGTTTTTTGAGTCTTTGTTTCAGCACGATGCCAATTGTTTGGTCCCATTCACGGGGCAAGATATCTACTACTTGTTCTATGCACTGCAGATATCTTCGGAGAGAACACCCCGTAAACGTATATATTAAACCGGGAAATAAATCCAGTGCACTGCTTACCGTTGCCACATCCCGATCAAAGTGATAACAATGTCGCTCTTCGCGACCTCATACGAGGACACATGCACTGGCGGTAGAACCTGTTCATACATCAGTTTACAATTTCTTTTGGCCTGACGGCTTGTCTCCTCAGTTCCATCATGAAGTTCTACCTTGTTGCCCTATTGGTGTTTGCCATGGTGTTTGTCAGTTTTGACACTGCCTCCGCTACGAGAGAAGGGAAATTGAAGCCAGCTGACGTCCCTTTCCGCATGTTCAAGAACACCCCAACCAAGAGGCTTCTCAGAACTTACAAAACCGGCGAGTAATAGAGGGGGATTTCGGCGAATATCCCCGGTCTTGAGAAGATCTCAAAAGCATTTACGTCAAGCAAGACCAAGGAGCTTCAGGGATTACTCAAGGCCGACGATTCGCTTGGAAATGCCTTCAAAACACTCAAGCTCAGCAAAATGCCGATTGGTAAGGATGGCTTTATCGAGACGGAAATGGTGGTTAAGTTTTTATCCAGCCGCAACTTTAAGGTTTGGTCTCAACATGCCGCCAAGCTGAACAAGGAGGACTCGTACGGCGCCATGATTACAGCACTCACGAATGTCTTCGGCGATAAAAATGTGGCGATAATGGTCCTACTGGGGAAGCATTCGAGGAGCTCAAGCGGTGTCTCCAAGAAGTTGGAGACAGCGCTGTTCAACAAGTGGTACACCGTCGACAAATACAGAACAGCCGATGATATGTTTGCGAAGGTGTTGAAGGCGAATCGAGACACGATTCATGGGTACGCTCGGGAGAAGTTCATTTGGGGAGATTATTCGAAGTACATCACGAATAGAGTCATGAACTATTAGGAGAACCGCATTAGAACTTAAGACGTCGTGGCTCCGCTTGCGGTTTTCGATACGTTCTGTCTTCAACACTAGAGCGTAGTGTCCTTGTAGGGTTAATACCATACGTTTAATGGTCAATGCTTCGAAAGAGGACACCATCACTCTTGATATCTGGTTTTATTGTTAATTACAAAAGTTACTGTAATAGATCGCTTCTTGCAGGGTTTATTAGCCAGGAATGTTCGTTAAATGGGCAGCAATAAAACATTTTCCCAGGTTTTCTTGACATATTG